TGGTGAGTTTGAGTCTCAAGACTGTTGCCTTTCTTTTAAGTTCCTCTTCACCGTTACTTGTCTGGTAACTTCCAAACTGGTCTTCTTCCATTTTCATTTTGTTTCCCACCATCACAGAAGGACAAATACTGTAGAATGGTGGTTGCCAGGGTCTAGGGGGGGTGGAAATGAAGAATCATTGTTCTGTGGGTATAAAGTTTCAATTAAACAAGATAATAAAGTTCTACATCTCTACAACATTTTGCTATATAAATACTGTACTATATTGCTTTAAAAATTTTTAAGACGTGTTCTTACCATGATTTTTTAAAAATTAAAATGATAGCATTAACAAAAGTGCTGGTAGTGAATTATATCTAATAAAGTTGTTTGTCAGCTTCAAAGAAAAAATTGAAAGCCTGATGGAAGAAGATACAAGAATTGAGGCTTGTTGCTGGAGACAGGGAAAGAGTGCATCAAGATCAGGGAGAACCGTGCAATAAGTACTTTTAAGACTAATTATGTAGCCGAATTGAGCCAAGAGGAAACTTGGGGTGAGTGGATATCATATACTAGTTTTCCATGGTTTGCTGTGTTTAGCTTCTGTTACCTCCAAGTGCAAAAATTAAATTTTAAACAAGAAAAATTGGGGATGAATCAATGTGATTTCTCACTGTACTAACAGTTCCTTTACTTAATTTGCACATAAGCTAATTCATGTGTTGAAATGTGTTGTAGCTGAAAAGTAGTGGTGATTTTCTACCGTTTCTGTGCTCACCATGCCTTTCTTTCCACTCTCAATGCCCAGGTTGTATTATCTTCCAGTCATGTGTGTCCTTCCGATCTCTGTTAATTTGTTCTTTACAATGGTACAAGAATTGTCTGTTGGAAATATTATATCTGATCAAACCAGTCTCCATCATTAGAGCATGTTTTTCATACTCTTGGTGTGTGTAATTCATTCTCCATGGTCTCTGTTTTCATACTTTTTCATTTTCCTCTTTTGCTGTATGATACAGGTTTTCTTCACAGCACATTTTGGAAAATATGCCCTTAGTTTTAAAGTTTAATGTTGGTTACCTTTAGGACCTCAAATAACCTTTTTTTTTTTTTTTTTTTTTTTTTTTTTTTTTTTTGAGAGAGAGGTAGAGAGCCAGAGAGAGCACAAGCAGGGGGAGCGGCAGACAGAGAGAGAAGCAGGCTCCCTGTGTGGGACTCGATCCCGGGACCCTGGGATCATGACCTGAGCCAAAGGCAGACGCTTAACTGACTGAGCCACCCAGGCACCCCTCAAATAACCAAATGTTAAGCCTACATATATTAATTTATCAACTTCCCAAAAAATTTTATCAAGTGACTCCCTGCTATAACAGATGAGAGTATCAATTTATGTATTTTCTTTTGTGTTTTCCTCTATTTCCACTCATCTTTGTCTTCCAATATTTGTTAGACTACTATGTGATAAGCCATCCTGACTTTTGTCAGTATGTAAGTTAGTAGCTTTTTTCGGAACATTAAACTTACATTCTGTTCTAAGACCATAGTAAGTTGTCATACACATTTGTGTGCTTAAATGAATTTATTCTTCGGGCGCCTGGGTGGCTCAGTTGGTTGAGCGACTGCCTTCGGCTCAGGTCATGATCCTGGAGTCCCTGGATCGAGTCCCGCATCGGGCTCCCTGACCCTCCCCCCTCTCATGTGCTCTCTCTCTCATTCTCTCTGTCTCAAATAAATAAATAAAATCTTTAAAAAAAAAAAAGAATTTATTCTTCATCTCTTATTTAAATTCAATTAATTAACATATAGTTTATTATTAGTTTCAGAGATAGAGTTTAGTATTCATCAGTTGCATATAACACCCAGTGCTCATTACATCAAGTGCCCTCCTTAATGCTCATCACCCAGTTACACCATCCCTCCACCCATCTCCCCTCCAGCAACCCTGTTTGTTCTGTAGAATTAAGAGTCTCTTATGGTTTGTCTCCCTCTCTGATGTCATCTTATTTTATTTTTTCCTCCCTTTCCCTGTGATCCTGTTCTGTTTATTAAATTCCACATATGAGTGAAATCATATAATTGTCTTTCTCTGACCTATTTCACTTAGCATAATACCCTCTAGTTTGAACTCATCCACATTGTTGCAAATGTATTCATCATCTTTTAAATTTTGTTTGATACCACTGTTTCTATGAGTTCTTTAATTTGATATAGCAAAGGATAATTCTCTATAGCTTATAGTGCACTAGATCTTTTTCTGGAAATACAGCAAAACCTTTTGATCAAATTTAGGTCTTCATGTCAGGAAATTTCTGTTACATCTTTATATTTTCTCTTATTCTCTTGTCTGGATCTGCATAACAATCATCTTCAACCATTTATTTCTGTACTTTTTCTTTCCATCTTACTTCCTTTTTCTCAGAATTGTTCTCTATTAATGACTTGGTTTTACTGCTTTGACTGTTGTGTTGTTGATATAGTTATTCTGCTGTTACATTTGTCTTGTTTGTTCTCTTTCCTTAACTCTGTGTGCTACCTTTTCTTTTCAGTGTCATTTTGATCATAAGAATTTTATTTTTCTCAAGAAGGTAAAGCAATTCTTTTTGAAATTTTCTTCTATTTCCTGTGACAAATATTAATCCTGAATGGATTTTTCATCTGTCTAGTGAACACATGGGTATACTTTGAATGGTTTCGTTAGGCCTTGGAAAACCTAATGGAGCTTGTCGGTGGTTTTTGTACAAGGAGGACTTTGAGAGGGCGCCTGGGTGGCTCAGTCAGTTAAGCGTCTGCCTTCGGCTCAGGTCATGATCCCAGGGTCCTGGGATCGAGTCCAGCATCGGGCTCCCTGCTCAGTGGGGAGCCTGCTTCTCCCTCTCCCTCTGCCCCTCCCCCCTCCCACTTATGCTCTCTCTCGCGCTCTGTTCTCTCTCTCTCTCTCTCTCAAATAAATAAATAATCTTTTAAGGAAAAAAAAGGAGGACTTTGACTTTTCCTCCCTCTGCTTCAAGATGAACTAGTGTATTACTAATGAGGCCTGAGGCTGTATATGGCGTACTGGTGATGCTGCTGCCGCTGCTGAGGTTAGGACTGATGCTGATTTGTATGTAATTTTCTTAATCCTGATTTTTCTAGCTCTTTATTCTTCCTTTAAGATAAAGGACAAAATATAGAACCTTGTCACTTACTCCTGCTGTTATAAAGTACTCTCTGGCCACTAGGGGAAGAGGAACTTCAACTAGGGTATTCCACATCTTTTCCCTTACCACATCCATGCTCCTGTCCCCATCTGCTAATGTGGAGGTACCAATGAGCATTTCTCAGGTCATGCTGCATATGGATTCTCGGATTGGTCTTCCAGTTTGGACTAACTCATTCAGTATTAGAGTGATACTTTTTAATAAAATTTCAGGCTATAAATGTGAGATCTCCTAGTTTAGGGATATTTTAACTCTTTTTGGCTATTTAGTTTTAGGGAAGGATATCCTCCTGCAAGCCTACATCTATGCCACCATCTTTTCTGGAAGTATCATAAGTAATAGAAAGACTTTTTAGGAGGGAGGCATTATTTAAAATGAAATGATATTCATATTTAATCTAATCCTGGACCAGTTCTACAGAAAAATGCATACATTCAAAACATTGCACAGTCTTAAGGGGTTTACTCCCTCTAGGACATTCTTAAATAGATAATACATGATCTTTCAAACTTTCTTATTTGAAACTTCTGTATGGATGCAGACGTTTTCACAAGTCTAAGATAGTGAACCTGAAACTTTAGTATTCCTAAGAAACTCGAGGAATTGGTTTAAAATGCAGATTTACAGGGGCGCCTGGGTGGCTCAGATGGTTAAGCGTCTGCCTTCGGCTCAGGTCATGATCCCAGGGTCCTGGGATCAAGCCCCACATCGGGCTCCTGGCTCAGCGAGGAGCCTGCTTCTCCCTCTCCTTCTGCCTCTCTCCCTGCTCATGCTTTCTCTCTCTCTCTCTCTCTGTATCTCTGTGTCTCAAATGAATAAATAAAATCTTTAAAAAAAATAAAAAATAAAAAAAAATAAAATGCAGATTTACAGACCCATTCCTCAGAACATCTTGATTGAGTGTATTTGAATAGGATCCCAGAAATCTTTTTAGCCAGGGGCGCCTGAGTGGCTCAGTCGGTTAAGTGTCTGCCTTCGGCTCAGGTCATGATCCCAGGGTCCCGGGATCGAGCCTCGCATCGGGCTCCCTGCTCAGTGGGAAGCCTGCTTCTCCCTCTCCCACTCCCCCTGCTTGTGTTCCCTCTCTCGCTATCTCTCTCTCTGTTGAATAAATAAATAAAACCTTTAAAAAAAAAAAAATCTTTTTTAGCCAGCTTACCCTGGTGTAGGTGGTCCACAGTTTAACTTTGAGTAATGCTATCTTAAGTGTTGAAATAATCCGATTTAATTATGAGATAGGTATTTTAGGTAACTAGGGCGTTTCAGGCTGTCCCCTGGGGCTGAATACCTGACAGCTGCTTGGCTTGGCTTCTAGAGGACCTACCACTCACTGAGATAGATGTTCCCTTCATTGTCTTCTCTTAATCCAAAAGCTTAATTTCCCAAACTTTGGGATTTTGTGGACGGGGAAATCTTCACTTGCCATTCCACCCCCCAACAAGAAATCTCACATAGGTTTGCCAATTTTTTATTTTGCTGAATGATATTAAAAATAAATCAACAATGAAAGAGTACATTTTTAACACCTCCTCTCACCACAACCACCAAAGATATAAATAAATAAAAACGTAGGAAGAACATGACCTCATAATACAGATTGTCTTTTAAATTGAGTACATTTGGCTCTTTTAGCTCTAGGCAGAACCCACTCTATTTTCCTCTTTTTTTAAACAAAATTTCTTGAGCTACAGATTAATGAATATTTTCTCACAGATGACATTTAAGAACTGCTGTTTATTGGTATTTGGAAGAGTGCATTTCTAAGAGGCACTACTTGAATATGATGAGTAGACATATCTCTCATATCCTCTGTTTTCTCACCAGTTCGGTCCTTTGGTACAGAAGACAGACCAACAGATCGTCCAATACCACCTCGAGATGAAGTCTTTGAATACATCATATTCCGTGGGAGTGATATTAAAGACCTCACTGTTTGTGAGCCACCAAAACCACAATGTTCTTTGCCTCAGGACCCAGCTATCGTTCAGGTATCTCATAGTAAATTTGTCTTGGAGTGCAAGAAAACTTTAAGTACATGGCTAGTCTTGGCTTTTACCTCTCTTTTATTTTGGTTTTGGGGTGTTTTTGTTTGTTTTTCCTCAATTGAATGTTCGTGTGCTTATCATTTCCTAGTTACCTAGACCTAAAATACCTGGATAATGTTTTCATCTAGGCTTTTTTTCTTTAGATCATAAGTTGGGACTAAATAAAGTAAGAAATATGGGGTGCCTGGGTGGCTCAGTCGTTAAGCATCTGCCTTCGGCTCAGGTCATGATCCCAGGGTCCTGAGATGGAGCCCTGCATCAGGCTCCCTGCTCAGCGGGGAGCCTGCTTCTCCCTCTCCCACTCCCCCTGCTTGTGTTCTGCTCTCGCTCTTTCTCTCTCTCTGTGTGTCAAATAAATAAACAAAATAATTTTAAAAATAAAGTAAGAAATAGAGGGATTTATTTTTATCATAAAATATTTTCTAATTTTAGCAAGTTAAAATAGCTTACATTTATTGAGGTCTAACTGTATGAGAAGCACTATTCAGACTACTGCACATACAGTAAGTCAATCCTCACAATACTCTCTGAACTTGGTACTATAATTATAGTATAACTATATAATTCTCCTTTTTTTACAAGTGAGTAAATTAAGATAGAGCCACAATTTGGACAGAACCAGATAGTCTGGTTCTGGAATCCAGGATCCATGTCACTTACTATGTTATTCACATTTGGTTCATATTACAAACCAGGGTGGTAATGGCTACTCTTAGGTGAGATTATTAGGTTCAATGAAAAAAAGTAATAAATCATATTGGTATCATACATATATATAACATAATACGCATGCAGTATTGTATAATACAGCACAAACATAAAGGGATTTTAACACACATAGGTATATTACTCGATTCTCTAAGTAAGGTATAAAACGTGATGGCTGGGTGGCTCAGCCTGTTCAGCATCTGCCTTCGGCTCAGGTCATGATCCCAGGGTCCTGGGATCTAATCCACATCGGGCTCCCTGCTCAGCGGGGAGCCTACTTCTCTCTGCCTGCTCTGCCTGCCGCTCCCCCTGCTTGTGCTCTCTCTCTGACAGATAAATAAAATCTTAAAATAAAGAAATAAAATAAGGTATGAAAAAAGAAGACCCTAAGTATTCTCAGTAAAAGAAATAAAAAATTTATATTTTATTAAAAACAGAAATACATGATTTCTAAAAGATTATGTTATGAATTAAGGAGGATATTTATTACAGTGCTTGTTTACATGATAATTGGAAGTATATAGAAACTGCCTGAATTTTAGTTATAACAGGAGAGGAAGCAGATTGATGTAGGAGTGTTTTCATTTTAGGGCATAGCTGATTAAAAGCTTATGGCTCCCATGATTTTCCTCTTGGATCCATTTTCTTCTCAACCCTTTTTCTTGTCAGTCTTTGGTCATTTGCACTAAAATATGCTTGTTGATTTTTTTAAAGTACTGTAATACTTTTAGATTTTTTAAAATTAACTTTGTTTTATGCTGTGATGAAATCTTAGTTTTCCACAAAACTGATTCTTAGAATATATATTATCTTGCATAAGATTTGTCTTACTTCCAATATTAAAATACCTAATGAACTCTTCTAAAGAAAATAATAAGTGGTATATAAAATTATATTAAAAAAAAACATTTTTTAAAAATCTTTTTTAAATAGAAAAAAAAAGAGGGGTGCCTGGCTGGTTCATTTGGTGGGGTGTGCGACTCTTGATCTCAGGGTTATGGGTTTGAGCCCCATGTTGGGCATAGAAATTACTTAAAAATAAAATCTTTTTTTTTTCCTCAAGATTTTATTTATTTAAAAAAGCACGAGCACAGGTGGGGAGGAGGGGCAGAGGGAGAGGAAGAAGCAGACTCCCTGCTGAGTAAGGAGCCTGATGTCGGGACTCATTCCCAGGATCCTGGGATCATGACCTGAACCGAAGACCGACACTTAACTGACTGAGCCACCCAGGCGCCCTAAAAATAAAATCTTGTAAAAAATGGGAAAAAAAGAGAAAGTACCTTTTAATATTTATTTAATATATTTATCTTTCCTGAATATGTTTTTAAATAAATAATTAAACTTATTCTTATAAATTGGAGAAATTCTCTCCTCTTCTCCCCCCCGCCCTTGTTAAGTCTAACTTTTAAGGAAATACGTCTGAAGGAATCCTGAGAAAATGTGAATTTTCTTAAATGGAGGGAGAAGAAACACATTTTAATAGAGATGGCCTGCACCAAAGAGTGGTATTATCTGACTCTCTCTTGTATAGATTTTTTGATAATTCTCCAGGGAAATAGTTATTTAAGTTATCAGCTTTATGGAGTCCCAAGAACCAAGAAAACAGAAGTCAAACTGGTGTTGAATAACTTCTTCCAGTCACCATAATTTTGACTTTTGACCTTTTGATTCCTACATCCAAAAGTATTTATTGAACACCTGCCATGTGCCTGATACTAGCAGTGAACACACAGACAAGGTCCTACCATCAATGAGCTTATATCCTTTTGGTAATTAGTACACTTCATATTTGTATTATGAGATATTTTATATGAAGATAAATGAATATATAATATGCGTATATACGTTCTATAATATATTTTAGGTTTAGTAAGTTGAAATTTTTGTAAAATGTTCTTTAACTTGATGAAAAATATATTTTAAAAATGTAAATGGTCATGGGGCACCTGGGTGGCTCAGGTGGTTAAGCATCTGACTCAATCTCAGCTCAGGTCTTGATCTCAGAGTTGTGAGTTCGAGCCTCACATTGGATTCCATGCTGGACATGGAGCCTACTTTAAAGATAAATAAAAAATAAAAATGTAAATGGTCTTGTGTGGGATAGTTTGTTTCTTCATCTCTTTCCTGTAAATTTAATAGTGTACTTCAAATGATTGAAATATGAGCAAAATCACAAGTGAGATACCTTATTTTTGTCAGCACCAGACTAAAACTCAGTATAACCAAATGTAATTTTTCCCATATTCTTTCTTAAAACAAAGTTACTTTACTTATTCAAGTAACTTTTCTTTCATTCTTTCCTAAACTTGCTATAAAACTCTTAACTCTACTTAACTGTAGAAAAATATATTTATAAGTCACATCAAGTATAATTGGCACATATACAAATATTGAAATCAGGAGGTTGTTAAACTGTTTTGATATTAAGTGCATGTTGTAAGTTATTATAATTGCTTTTGTACCTAATAGTTATAATTTAAAACCTTTAAAAATGTAAATATTCGAATTTTTTTCGTTATATACATGTTGTATAGAGCCTGGAAAAATAACCCATGATCTTTCTTCAGTCTTCACTAGGCTCATCTACTTCTTCATTCCAGTCAGTGGGTTCCTATGGACCTTTTGGCAGGATGTCGACATACAGTCAGTTCAGTCCAAGTTCATTAGTCGGGCAGCAGTTTGGTGCTGTCGGTGTTGGTATGTTATGCTTTTTTCTTTTTTTTTTTTTTTTTCTTAAATTTACCTGTCTTTACCATAAATTTACAGACATGTTGTTTGGTGTTCCTTTGTAACCTATTAATTTAAAGGTTTTATTTAACGTCCTTAATAACTAGTGGTTTTATAAAGGTCATCTGTCAGAATAGTCACTTTTTTTTAAATCTAGATCTATTCAATTGCCAAATATCATTGAATGTTATTTTAAATTTACGTAAGATATCTCCATTTAAAATAAGCCTTTTTTTCTGGAGTACCTGGCTGGCTCAGTTGGAAGAGCATGTAACTCTTAATCTCGGGGTCATGAGTTCGAGCCCCACACTGGGTGTAGAGATTACTAGAAAAATAATCTTAAAAAGTCATAAAATAAGCATTTTTTTCCAACAGGATGGGTTTTCAAAAAGGGGGTTGGAGATAATGCTATTATTAGGGAATAATAATGCCATTAACGAGTATTTATATTAGGTAGAATGTGAAAAGATAATCACACATAGCATGTTTGAGGGCATGATGCTTTGTTTATTGTAACAATGTTTTAGAAACATTAACACTGTAAAGAGAAAGCTAGATATAATCAGATCAGCTCTGTTTTTTTTGTTTTTATAGCTATGCATTTTAGCTCTTTAGTAGAAATTTTCATAGTAAAGAATAACTTTATTTTATTTTATTTTATTTTTTAAAGATTTTATTTATTTATTTTGACAGAGAGAGAGAGAGACAGTGAGAGAGGGAACACAAGCAGGGGGGATGGGAGAGGGAGAGGCAGGCTTCCTATGGAGCCGGGAGCCCGATGCAGGGCTCGATCCCAGGACCCTGGGACCATGACCTGAGCCGAAGACAGACGCTTAACGACTGAGCCACCCAGGCGCCCTAAGAATAACTTTTTAAATCTCAAATTCTAGCCCTTAAATCTTTTTTAATTCAATTGAAATAACCATTTATCAGTTTACCTTGTTTCTCTGCATCACAAATCCAGTTTCAGGTGTATCTTGAAACCCATTAGCATGTTAACAAGTTTTGTTAAAATTAATTCCTTTTTATAAATATACTTTTTTTATGTAGTTGTGACTTTTCAAGTATGTAAATGTTTTGCTTATTCACAAAATCAAAAAGGATGGGAAAAAATAAATCCTAAAATTGAATGGATATAAACAGAAATAACTGGTGTTAAGTTTATATCAAATTGATAGTATAACCACACAGAAAAAAAGAATTTAAGTAACTTTTACACTCTTAGTAGGGGTATATTATAAGAACAAATGAAACTGTAAAAATCCCTTGACTTAGGGTTTGTAATTGGTAGTGGTATTGGTGTTAATTTTGAAACTGTTTTGTATGTATTATAGGAAAGGGCAAATGACTAATATAGTGATGTTGTTGGGAAATGCTGTTCTTTCCTTGGAGAAGGGAGAAAGAAACATAGGAGTAAGGAAGAACCCTGTGATGTTGAATGTGAATTGGAAGCATGAATGTGAACTTTTTAAAAACTGGTTATTTCCCAACTCTGTTCATAGAAAGGACTTAGAAGCAATGATACCCTGTAGCAAAGAATATGTGTAGACCCAGTTCTTGGTTTCTAAATACCATTCCCCACTAGAAGGAACATGGGCCCCTTGAGAAAAGAAGGGGAAACACTGCTGGTTTTTTTTTTTTTTTTTAAGTTTATTTATTTAAGTAATCTACACACAATGTGAGGCTCAAGATCAAGGGTCACATGTTCTTCCGACCAAGCCAGCCAGGTGCCCCAACAATGCTCTTTTTTAACAGAAAAGTCCCAGCTAATAAATAGAAGGAATGGTAGATACAAAAAATCACCATTTTTGTAATATCCAGTGTATTAATTAGCAAGGATTATCAGTGGATGCTAAAATCATTGGGTGAACAGTGTTGGACAGAGTATTAAAATGGCCTTAAAATATCATCCCACAGTTAATTAATTACAGAGGGGACGACATTGTGCCTTTATAATGGAGACCTCTCATAGTCACCATTTTAATCAAGTCTTAAAGTTTGGCATTGCCATAGTTAACTAATTAAATGTCTCCTAATGTGATGATGTAGGAAGTTGGTAAATCCCGATTTACCCTGTTAGCTATAACTGTTAGAATCCTATTCTGAGGACTTAAATAAGGGGCAGTTGCAAGTTATCCTTTGAGACTCCTTTCACTAAATTGAGTAGTTGGCTAACATTGAGATTATTACTGCACTTACCTCGTACATTACCGTGAAGTTTGTATGACTTAATATGTGTAAAGCATTTGAATAGGGTCTAGCATATAGTGTTACATAGTAAATACTGCTTCTACCATTCTTCAGAGCCTGCTTTTCTAATCAGAGTGTCTATTTCTTACAAATGCTTTTATCTAATTTTGATATTATTGGGAGTTGCTAGTTTACTGTTCTTTGGGTGTCACAAAGGTAGAGGGTTTTATTTGTATTTTCCATGTCAGTTGAGTAATTTTTGCAGTAGATGATTATTTTTCATTTGTTGATTTCCATATTGGTAGGATAATTTGTGGAGTGACTAGAGAGCTATATATAATATTCAGAAGTTGTTAAATGAGGAGGAGGAAGAAAATTACTGCACTGATTAAGGTGGTAGGTGATTTTTAGAAAAGGAGTTAACTCACGTATGGTTTGTGTTAGCATGAATTAAGCCAGATTTTAATCCAAGCCTCTTGTTTTTGATCCCTAATGCAGTTGACCCTTGAGCAAATGTATTTGAACTGCACAGGTCCACTTACACGTGGGTTTTTTCCAATAAATACATTAGTAAATGTATTTTTTTCTACCGTGTGATTTTTTTTTTTTTTTTTAAGATATTTATTTGAGAGAGAGAGAGCATGTCTGAGCAGGGGGAGGGAGAGGAAGGGAGAATCTTGAGCAGATACAGGCCTCAGTCTCACGGCCCTGAGATCATCACCTGAGCTGAAACTAAGAGTAGGACGCTTAAATGACTCAGCCATGCAGGTGCCCCCGTATGATTTCCTTAATAACATTTCCTTTTCTTTAGCTTACTTTATTGTAAGAATACAGTACAGTGTTCTGACTTAAAAAGGAAGCTTAAATCAGGGAAACTCTTGCTATTTGGGAAAATTTTTTTCCGTTTTAATTTTTATATGTTATAGTCTTTTTACAGGTTTTTTTTGCAGTTTATATCATGAAGATTAATATCTGTAACATCTATAGGGCTTCCAAAACTAAGGACCTACAACCCAACAGAAAAAGAGGCAGGTGTTAGGAACTAACTTTGCCTTTTTCAGAAAGAAAGTAATACAAATGTCCTTCAAATGTGGAAAAATGCTTAAGTTTTGCTTATGATAAGAGATACACAAATTAAATCTGTACTGAGGCACCATTTCTCACTATCAATTTGGCAAAAGCCCAAAAGTTTGAGTGTGTATATATGGTATTTTTGCAAGATAGTGAGGAAACAGATACTCTCATACATTGAAAAGAATGATACACCAGACGGAATTAAAACATTATTTTTTTAAAGCTGATGCTAAAATAATTCTTAAGTGCAAAGATTAGGTCTTTATTGACTTTAATTGATGGATCCTTAGGAAAAATTAATGACCCCACAATAAAGGAAACAGCAAAACTGCCATGGCATGCTAAGTCTCATAATACCCTGTGGACAAGACTGAGAGCTGTTGGCTGAATAGACAGACAAATTGGGTACATTTTAGCTGGTTAAACATAGTCAAGCCAAATTAGACAATGATTCTCTTAGGTCTCCAGTATTTCATACAGATTAATTTTTAATGAAAATTTAGATCATTTTGATGAACATTTAGAAGGCAGGCTTATGAACTTTATAGTTAGCATAAAGCCAGTTGAGTATTTCATACATTGGGGCTGACAGACTAAGGATTGTTCAAGATCCACTTTGATAAAGTGTAAGGGAATTAAACATTCCAGTTAAAAGGCAGAGATCATCAAACTGAACTCAGAAAAATAACAAGACCTAACTATGTAATGTTTGTAAGAAATACACTGAAAGAGGAGAAAACAAAAAACAGCATGGCATATCATACAAATACTAATAACAAAACTATGTTAGACAAATTAACAGCAGACAAAGAAACTTGAAAGATTAGGGGTACTACCAGCGATAAGAAGGATTCTTCCTAATGGTACAGAGGACAGTTCATCAGGAAGCTTTAATAATCCTCGATGTAACTTTGATAAAATAGTGCACCCCAAAATTGTAGAATATAGATTCTTTCCATGTAAATATGGACCACTTAATGGGATCAAATCCTGAGCCATGAAACAAGTTACATTAAATTTAGGACTGAAGGGACACCTGGGTGGCTCAGTCGTTAAGCGTCTGCCTTCAGCTCAGGTCATGATCCCAGAGTCCTGGGATCAAATCCCACATCAGGCTCCTTGCTCAGTGAGGAGCCTGCTTCTCCCTCTCCCTCTGCTGCTCCCCCGCTTGTGCTCTCTCTCTCTCTCTCTCTCTGACAAATAAATAAAAATCTTAAAAATAAATAAATAAAATTCTATTAAAAAATAAATTTAGGATTGAAATCATACATGGTATGTTCTCATAACCATAAGTTAAATAAATATAACTTGAGGGGCGCCTGAGTGGCTCAGTCGTTAAGCGTCTGCCTTCGGCTCAGGTCACGATCCCGGGGTCCTGGGATCGAGCCCCGCATTGGGCTCCCTGCTCCGCGGGAAGCCTGCTTCTCCCTCTCCCACTCCCCCTGCTTGTGTTCCTGCTCTCGCTATCTCTCTGTCTCTCTGTCAAATAAATAAAATCTTAAAAAATAAATAAATATAACTTGAAAAATTCCAAATAACTGGAAATTGAGCAAACTTATAAATCACTAATGAATCAAAGAAGAAAGCATAAGAGAAATTAGAAAAGACTTTTTAGTGATCATAAAATGCAGCATATCAAAATTTGTGAGTGGAGCTTAGAGGAAATTTTACACCTTTAAAAAATTTTATACTTTCAAATGCATGTATTAGAAAATAAGAATGTTTTAGAATTAGTGCTCTAGACTGCCAGCTTAAGAAGCTAAGAAAAAAGGAAAGAAAATTAGTCCAAATGTAGTAGAAGGAGAAAAAATTAAAAGCATAAATCAATGAAAAGAAACAAGCCAAAATAACTTGATGTAATGAGCACTGGGTGTTATATGCAACTGACGAATCACTGAATTCTACCCCAGTAACTAGTAATATAGCATATGTTAACTAAACTGAATTTAAATAAAGAATTTTAAATAAACAAAAAAAAGAAAAGCCAAAATATACATAACATCAGCAAAGCCTGATCAAGGAAAAAAAGAAGACCCAAATTACCAATATGAGGAATGAAAGAGTAGATATCATTATAGATCCTTAAAGAACAGATCTTATGGACGAGTTTATGTCAACAAATTTGACATCTTAGGTAAAATAGATTCCTTGAAAAATACAACTTTCCTAAACCCAAACAGGAGGTGATAAAAACATGATATCCTGGCTAACTAAGATACCAAAATCTAATGAGGTCATTACAAGAAAAGAAAATTACAGCCCACCATCTCTGTGGACATATATTTAAAAATCCTTAACAGAATATTAGCAGTGAAAGTCAGCAATTCATAAAAAGAATAGTACATAATGACAAAGTTATCTCAGAAATGCAAAGTTGTTTTAACATTTGAAAATTATTAGTAATTTACCACATTAACAGAATAAAGGAGAAAAACTGTAATCCCAAGAGATACAGAACAGGCATTTGATAAAATTCAGCACCTACTTATCAACAACTGAGGAATGGGAGGGAATTTCCTAAATTTAATCAGTGAAATGAAAAGTTTACATACATAAAGGCAAGAAAGAAAGATACAAAGATTGAAAAGGAAGAACTAAAAATGTCTCTATTTGAAGGTGGTATGATTGTGTACGTAGAAAATGCAAAAGAATATTCAGACCATTAGAATGAATAAGTGAATTTAGCATGGTAAGGGAATACATGGTAAATATACAAAATGAACTATATTTTTTATTCTAGAACAGATGGGTTGGCAAACTGTGATCTGTGGACTGAATCCAACCAGCCTCCTGTTTTGATAAAGTTTTATTGGAATACAGGCACACCCATTTATTATATGTTGTTTATGGGTGCTTTTACACTACGTAGGCAGAGTTAAGTAGTTATAATGGAGACCATATGGCCTGAAAAGCCTAAATATTTATATCTGGTCACTTGTAGTTGAAGTTTATTGACATGTGATCTAGAACAGATTGTTGAGAAGTGAAATGTAAAGTGCACCACAGCTTGCAGTTAGCACCAGCAACATTAGATACCCAGGAAATAATATAACAGAAGATATTTGAAAACATCTACAACAGTGGTTCTCAGTGGAGGAGGGTTAATTTTATCTTCCTCCTGCAGGGGACATTTGGTAACGTATGGAGACCTTTTTGGTTCTCACAACTGGGGGATACTAGTATGTAGAAGGTAGAGGCCAAGGATGCTACCTAACATCCTACAGTGCATAGGACAACTCCTCACAAAATGTCAGTAGTGCTGAAGCTGAGAAAACTGCTCTGTAATGAAAACCACAAAATATTGCTGAGAGAAATTAAAGTTCTAAATAAATGGAGAGTTGATCCAGGCTCGTGGGTTGGAAAATTCAGTATTATTTTTAAGGTGATATTTTTCCCAAAATTGATTTACAGAGTAAACAGAATCCCAGTAGACATTTTAAAATAGAAATTGACAGGGGGCGCCTGGGTGGCTCAGTCGGTTGGGCATCTGACTCTTGATTTTGGCTCAGGTCATGATCTCAGGGCCGTGAGATCGAGCCCCATGTTGGGCTCTGCGCTGGACACAGAGCATGCTTGGGATTCTCTCTCCCTCTGCCCCCCATCCCCACTCCTGCTCTCTCTCAGAAAGAAAGAGAGAGGGAGAGAAATTGACATGCTGATTCTAATATTTGGTAGAAATACAAAACCTAGAATAGCCAAAATAGTCTTGAAGAAAGGGGGCATCTGGGTGGCTCAGAGAGTTAAGCGTCCGATTCTTGATCTCAGCTCAGGTCTTAATCTCAGGGCCGTGAGTTCAACCCCTGTGTTGGGGCTTATGTCTTGGTCATTGCCCAGAAATAACTAGGGATAATGGGATGGATTTAACTTCCCACAATCATTGAGAGCATTAGTCCCCACATTTCTGGAGATGTAGAAAGTTATGTTAGGCCTCTCCTGAACTGGCCAGGACTGTAGCCTGACTGGATTCCACACCTTCAGGGGAGTCCCATGAATCTAATTATGAGATTCTGTACTAGGTTCTGATGCCCTGTTTTAAAAGGGATATGAATAGGGCGCCTGGGTGGCTCAGGTGGTTAAGCGACTGCCTTCGGCTCAGGTCATGATCCTGGAGTCCCGGGATCGAGTCCCGCGTCGGGCTCCCTGCTCGGCAGGGAGTCTGCTTCTCCCTCTGACCCTCCCCCCTCTCATGTGCTCTCTCTCATTCTCTCTCTTTCAAATAAATAAATAAAATCTAAAAAAAAAAAAAAAAGGGATATGAATAACTAGGATTTATTAAATTGGAGGGGACAGTATTAAAGACTGGGAAGTGGGAAGGTAAGTAGTGGTTGAAGGAACTGGGGTTGCTTAGCTGGGAAATCAGAAGATTCCTAGAAGCGTGATCATGATGTTCAAATATTTAAAGCAGACTGGTGAAAAGAGGGAAAGTGGTGAGAAAAGAAGTAGACAGATAAGGGGAGGGCCTGATAAACTGAGGTAAGTAATCTGAACTTTTTATCTTAAGGGCAGTGGAAAGCCATCACAGGGTCCTAAGCGCTGTGGTAATGTGGTTATATCTGTATTTCACAAGAGATCGTTCTGACTGCCATCTTCAGATTGGATTTAGAGGTGGGGGAGGAAGGGCTACTGAAATAGTTCCTGCTGGAGAAAACCTACATAAATTAAATATTAAGTCAGAAGGGAACACAGCATAAGAAATGATCTGTAAGGACTATAGACATTTAGAGGAGATTGACATAAGCTCATATAGCAAAGAATTTGGGCCCTTTCTAGGGATTTGTTATTCATGTTACCAGACTTTTTGTGGTTGCTTTAGGCAAAATGCAGCCCCATGGTACCATCCTGGAGGGAAGCATTAAAATGAACTGTAGTCCATTGGCTCCTTGGAAATGCTGGACAAGCTCTTCATAGACCTCTCTGCTAATTTGGCTGTTTGTGCAGATACTCTGTATTAAAATAATTACACCTTAATACTGGTGTAGAATGTACCGTTTCTGCTACTTCTCTATCTGACATCAGTCCTTGCTGTCCTATCTATGTAACTGCCTAGGACAGTATTGCTGTTAAAAAATTGTTTGCATCCAAGGATGCTGGAGTATATATTGGTTTGTTTTTTCCATACAGTGTAAAAGATTTCTCAAACTATTTTTGAGAATTAATTTCCAGGATTATTAATTTGCACACATGTTGCAGGGGGGAGGGGCGGCAAGTTATTATCATCGTTAAAATGGTGTATTACTTTATATAATTGAAAGGTTTAAATTTAAAAATATATATTTTTGTCATTTAAAAAAAAATCTCTTAAAGCTGGAAGTTCTTTGACATCCTTTGGAACAGAAACATCAAACAGTGGTACCCTATCCCAAAGTACTGCAGTTGGTTCTGCCTTTACACAGGATACAAGATCGCTAAAAACACAGTTATCTCAAGGTAAGCTGTTTTTTCTTTCATATATTTCCATTCCTAACATCTTTAGTCGTTTTTGTCTTTCTCTTTGAATGTAAGGAGCTTTTGCAGCTTGCAAATCACATGTATACTTTCTATTTGGTCCTTTTAAGATTTTTCTCCTAGTTGCTGTTACAATAAGTATATTATTGAATGACATCCACTATTTAGACTCTGCAATTCTGAGATCATAAAACTGGGAACCAGTGAACATTCTCTAAGTTTGAAACTTTCTTGCAAGGCAATTATATGACTTGTATATAATACTTAAATATATCAAATTAGTCCCAGACTCACCACTGAAAATGAACTATTCTTGATGAACTTGAAATAGCAGCTTAAAGAACCAAACTATTCTTTACGCTGTTGGATCTTTCCTAGCATCCTCACAGGATCTAGAGCAGTGGTTCTAAGTGTGGACCACCCACAACCAAATCATGTGGAGAGCTTCTTAAAAATGTAGATCCTGACAATTGCTATATCAGAATCCTTGGAGTTTGGCAATGTGCATTGTAATTAGCTTCTTAAAGGATCCTGTTTAGGGCGCCTGGGTGGCTCAGTTGTTAAGCGTCTGCCTTCGGCTCAGGTCATGATCCCAGGGTCCTGGGATTGAGCCCCACTTTGGGCTCCCTGCTCGGCGGGAAGCCTGCTTCTCCCTCCCCCCATCCCCATGCTTGTGTTCCTGCTCTCACTGTGTCTTTCTCCGTCAAATAAATAAAATCTTAAAAAAAAAAAAAGGATCCTGTTTAATTTTTTTAAATCTATTTTTCTACCAGCCAGTTTTATAATCTTCGGTGGCCCCAAGAGTCTGTATCTTTTTTATCTGCAGCTGAAGTGGTTGTGTGTTTTTGTTTGTTTTTAATTCATTTGAGACACAGAGATAGAGAGCAGAGAGCATGAGCAGGGGAAGAGGCAGAGGGAGAGGGAAAAGCAGGCTCCCCGCTGAGCCAGGAGCCCAACGTGGGGCTCAATCCCAGGACCCTGGGATCATGACCCGAGCCAAAGGCAGACGCTCAACCAACTGAGCCACCCAGGCACCCCTGAAGTGGTTGTTATTGGCTCGTTGCTTTATATGGATGTTCACTTTTAAATAAAACAATGTAAAGTCATTTCAGAAGGATGCTATAATCACAGGATAATATTGTTTAAAGCTGTTGAGGGTAAAATCAAGCTAATACTAAACATAATCCTATATATCTCACTTTAGATATTTTGAAATAGTCATTCATATTGATTTAAAATATTTAATTTTTAATTTTTTAACATTCTAAAGATTTGTTGTAGGTGAATTAGAAAATATAGTAGGTATAAGGAAGAAAATAAAAACACCCCATAGTCCCACTATTCAGAAATAACAAATAATTACTTTTTGTTGTATACACGGCAGACTTTTTTCTAGGTTAATAGAAGTGTATATTTCTCTATAGGTCTTTGGGTCTTTTTTTCTTTTAAGAATTCTTTCTTACCCTGCGGGGAACCTGCTTCTCCCTCTGCCTGCCGCTCCCCCTGCTTGTGCTCTCTCTCTCTGTCAAATAAATAAATAAATTCTCAAAAAAAAAAAAAAAGAATTCTTTCTTAAATAAAATTCTTCACCTTTTTAAGCATTAGTTTTCTAAACTATAAAATGGGACTTTAGGGGTACCTGGCTGGCTCATTTGGTGGAGCACATGACTTGATTTTGGGGTTGTGGATTTGAGCCCCGTGTTGGGTTATAGAGATTACTTAAAAATAAAATCTTTATAAGGGCGCCTGGATGGCTCAGTCATTAAGCGTTTGCCTTCAGCTCACGTCACGATCCCAGGGTTCTGGGATTAAGCCCCGCATCAGGCTCCTGGCTCAGCAAGAAGCCTGCTTCTCCTTCCCCCCTCCCCCTGCCACTGTTCCCTTTCTTGCTGTGTCTCTGTCAAATAAATAAAATAAAATAAAATCTTTATAAAAAATAAAAGGGGCACCTGGGTGGCTCAGTTGGTTGAGTGGCCAACTCGGTTTTGGCTCGGGTCCTGATCTCATGGTCCTGGGGGATCAAGCCCCACAGTGGGCTCCATGCTGAGTGTGGAATCTGCTTCACATTTTCTCACCCTTTCCCTCCTCCCGCCCCACTCACGTTCACACACTCTAAAGTAAATAAAACCTTAAAAAATAAGAATAAAATAAAATGGGGCTCTATGGGTAAGTAACTTATTGTGAGAATTACATTTTTTAAAATGTATGCAGTGCCCTTAGCATAGTGTGTGGGATGTTAATTATTTTTTAATCAATAGTGAACATTAACCTTAATATTAAAGCACTTACTAAAATCATAAGGATGCCTGTTATCATTACTACTCAGCATCATTCTGGGAATTTTTAGCTAAATCAGGAACACATGAAAAGAAATATGAAGCATAAATATTGGAATTGGTATTATTTGCCAGTGCAATTGAGAATTGACAGTTGAGAATTCACTGAAAAACCTAGAACTAAAGGACTGAAATTAGAGGTATTTAAATTCACACGTATAAAAAGCAATAGTTGTTCTAAAACCTAACCCACTGATTATGTAATGGAGATAAAAGATGTCATAATAAGAAATAGAAATTAAATATAAAATACATAACAAATATGGCAAACCTCTGTAGAAAATACAAAATGTAGTAGAGGGACATAAAAGAAGTCAGAGGTCATCAGAGAAACCAATCTTATTCCTAGATACAAAGATTTAGTATTAGGAAGACCTTGTGTCTCATATTAATTAAATTTACTATACTTTTAATAAATCCACATGAAATAGTAGGAGAACTTAATTAAAAAGATACACAGTCTTAAAAATAAACATGGAAGTATAGTTAGACATATTTTTCAAATGAAAGTAATGACATAGGGCTTACCTACTTGATAATAAAGTAAAGCAGTGCAGGAATAAAAGCCAGAAATAGTTCCAAATATAAATAAGTGATTAATACATGATAAAGATATTCTTAAATTAGTAGAGGAAGGCTGGCTATCCAATAAGTGATATCGGGACAGACAACTGCCTGATCATTTGGGAAAAATAGATCTAGATTCCTTCCCTCATACTTCGGACTAAGATAAATTTTAAATAGATTAAAATATTTTTAAATTCTTCAAGTACATATTATAAGAAAGATATATTTATATAAAGCAGTAATGGAGAAAGTCTGGGACCCTGCATTTAAGTTTCATCAGTGAAAACTGAACTTAACAAAATACCTAGAGTCTTCTTCGAACTGGTAAGAATGTGCAGATAAGTCAGGGGGTTGTGTTTTTATTATGCCGAAACCAGCTTCTGTGTTTATCCTAATGGTATATCTAGCATTACCTGTATTTCCCTGTGGATGACACAGCTGCCAATAAGACTAGGAGACTTCAGTCACAAAGGTTTTGAAAGTACACAGCAGGGGACACCTGGGTGGCTCAGTTGGTTAAGCATCTGCCTTTGGCTCAGGTCATGACCCCAGGGTCCTGGGATAGAGTCCCACATCGGGCTCCTTGCTCAGCGGGGAGTCTGCTTGTCCCTCTCCCTCTGCCCCTCCCTGCTGCTCATGTTCTCTCTCCCTGATAAATCTTTTTTTAAAAAAAGAAAGAAAAAGAAATTTATAAGATCATTTAATGTCATATTATAAAATTGAACAATAGGCTTTTCAAAAAACTTAGCACTTGTTTTATAAGTAAATCCCTGTACAAGGTGATAAATGATCACAAAATGTTTTCTCATAGGCCAGAACTTCTACAAACCACCATGATTCCCGTTATAATCAATGGGAACATTGCACTGTTTCTCTTAATGGTAGAGTAAACTTTGGCATTAATGGCTGGAAATGGTGATACACATTTGTAATTACGTACTTTAGATAACTATAAACGTGGGAAAATTGCTAATGAACGGTCCCTGAAGCATCTGGTGCATAATAACCAGTGCATTGTCAGCACTCACCAGTTCACCAGTGGTCGGAGCCTGTGCAGCTCTGCACTGGTGGGGAGTAACATTTGCAGCGTACTTGGAATTTTTTTTTTTACATGAAACGAGCATAATTTTCTTAAGCAAAACATATCCCATGCAATATCATGAGATATGAGAGCACCTTGAGAAGAGATTTACAGCATACATAGAGACAAAACATGATGGGAGCATCCGATATTATATTCTTCTGTTTGTACTGTGACCAGGCTCTGAACTCATAAAAGGAAAAATGGAATTTGTAAGTGCACAACTCATATTTAGCAGAAGCTTCCAAAAGATCTTTCAAATGGCCAGAAATGAATATGGGGCTACTCTGTTATTTTATGAAGGGTGTATTTGTTGCTGGCCTTTGAGTATTGACATAAAATTTCCCAAGCCCCTAGGGTATTGAAGGACTTCACCTGTCTTTCTAGTTCTTTACTTCCTTTATAATGGAAATGTAATGGAGATAATACCTATAAATATAAAAAGTACCACTTTGGACATATCTTCAGAAAGTACTAAAAATTTTAGGTTACAGCCTCTGGAAATAATGGCTGAAGTGTCAATATAATTTTGTGGTTGTCATTATTGGGGAAAGCCTGCATCCTACCTGCATACAACATGATCTTTGATAATATTCCTGGGAAGTCTTGCCCAGGCAGCAAATTTTTTAAAAACTTACTTAAATCTTATTCCACCAGGTAGAAATACAGAAAAAGTTCCCTTGGTTGGTTGGTTGGTTGGTTGGTTGGTTGGTTGTTGGGGTTTTGGGGGTTTTTTTCAATGTTTCTTTCCTAGCCTAGTGACCCAGCCCACTAAAGATAACCCCCTTTTAAACTCTGGTCTAGTAAGTAGATGAATTCAGATTTGTGCTAAGGATTTAAATTGGTAGAAATAAAACTGTAGACCTTTTTTTTGAGGGTCTAGATAATTTTGAAATCCCCAGAGGATAGGGTAGTTTCTTATCTTTTGGTTACGTTTTAGGTCGTTCAAGCCCTCAGTTAGACCCTTTGAGAAAAAGCCCAACCATGGAACAAGCAGTACAGACCGCCTCGGCCCACTTACCTGCTCCAGCACCTGTTGGGAGAAGGAGCCCTGTATCAACCAGGCCTTTACCATCTACCAGCCAGAAAGCAATAGAGAATCAAGAGCACAGGCGAGGTAGAACTTTAGCTATTTACTATTCATTAATTGACTGATCAACATTTTCCATTCACCTTATTTTTTATTGAAAAGATTTACTGTATATGAATGATCCTAGAAGGTTTAAACTGAACTTGATAGAATGTTCAGTCTTTCAAACTTGACTCAAAAGTAGTGATGGTGGTGGGGGTATAGATTTTTTGCTTTTGTTTTGGGTTCCTTTGTTTTTCCCATTTTGAACTTTACGGAAGTTTTTGATTTTGTGTCCTGAGCTCATTCCTGATTTTGTATATCTTTTATAGCTGAAGTACACAAAGTTTCAAGACCAGAAAATGAGCAACTCAGAAATGATAGCAAGAGACAAATAGGTAAGTTACCTGAATCTGAAAGCCATATTCTGGGCTTCTCAATTAAAAAGAACATTTGATGCATAATTACTATTAAAAAATGAAAGCCTGCAGGGCACCTGGGTGACTTAGTGGGTTGAGCATCCAGCTCTTGATTTTGGCTCAGGTCATGATCTTGTGGGTTGTGGGATCAAGCCCCATGTCAGGCTCTGCTCAGCAGGGAGTCTGCTTAAGACTCTCTCTCTCTCGGGGCGCCTGGGTGGCTCCGTCATTAGGCGTCTGCCTTCGGCTCAGGTCATGATCTCAGGGTCCTGGGATCGAGTCCCGCATCGGGCTCCCTGCTCAGCGGGAAGCCTGCTTCTCCCTCTCCCACTCCCCCTGCTTGTGTTCCCTCTCTCACTGTGTCTCTGTCAAATAAATAAAATCTTTAAAAAAAAAAAAAAAATCACTGTTACATTTCTGGAATAAACTCTACTCGATGGGAGGCAGTTGTCTTTCAGTATATTGAATTTATCTGCCATTAAGATTTATACACTTATATTTACATTGTTGTGTGGTTTCCTCTTTAGTACTATCTTTTGTATTTTTTTACGTTTTTATGTCAGTTTCTGGTTAACATTATAAAATTTTTATTGTTTTCGGGAGCTTTTAAGAGTGGATTTATCTGTACCTCGAAGGTTTGAGGTTTTCTCATTATAATTATTTAAGCCCTGAGTTTTTTTTCCTTTAAGTAATTGTTCAAGAACTTTAATTTTCTTTCATGGTTATTGAATTAATAAGACCGTACACTTTGTGTTTTGTAATCTATAACGTTTATCCCCAGATTCATTTATTTTATCAATACTTTCAAATATATTACCAGAGAATAAATTTATTATTTTAAACGTCCAAATTAAAAAATAAAGGCAAGGTGTAATCACCTTATTTAGATAATAGAAAATGATCTTTCACTTAATTTCAGAAAATGTATACTGAATTTCTCCTGTACATTGCTGTATGTGCTATGTCCCGTGGAATTCAGGGGTTTTGGTTTGATTTGCTATATTTCACTTTTTTTTATTTTGGAAAAGAGAACTTCTCTCTCAAAATAAGATAATTGCCATACTACCATCATTTAAAAATCATATAAAGTAATAAATAAAAGTACCTTACAGTGCGCTTCAAAATTGCTCCCCCAAAGGTTCATTAACAGAACAATGACTATTCTTTCAGACTTTTTTTCTTAACGATTTTATAAACATTGACTATACTTAAAATTTTTTTTTTTTTTTTTTTTAAGACGGAAAGATTGTGCTATATTTACTTCCTGGCTTGTGGCCAAGGTGTTTTTAATAGTGAAGTTGAATGTTTTAAACATCCTGCTTATCTAGATTTAAGTGTCTGGATATGCTGCTGTAGGTTTTTGTGGTTTGTTTTTTCAGATGTGTGCAATTTGCAAAACTTCAGCAAACACTGAACATAACCTGTCTGTTACTGTGTAGTCACTTTCTGATCTTTGTCACTATATATTAAACATTTCACATAATTATAATCATTGAATTCATACTCCTTTGTGCTCAGTTTCTGTTAACTCACATGAATTACTGTTCCATATTCCTCTTTTATTTTTTTCTTAACTCTTTCTCTTGTGTTGGATATTTGGGTTCTCAACTTTTTACTGTAATTTATGCTATTTTGCTATTGCTTTATCATACTTCATAAATCCTTTTAGCACAATAGAGAAAGTAGATACAGGAAGATTTGAATAATATGAAGCCATTTAGAGGGAGACAAGAAAGGTGAAAGAGGAAGTGGTTGGAGTAGTTGACGTGGTGGTGCTTTTTGTTTTCTGTGATATTTGTGCTTATTAGTGTTCATTTATTTTCTTATTATAAATCTTGGTTCTTGTGATACTTTCATGGAAGACTTCCTAAATTTTGAGAACCCACTACATGTTTGGCACTTTGTAGGAATTAGAACTATAAGCAGAGCAGAGCCCCTCCCTCAAGGAGTATGACAGTAATTACTATAGAAGTCTTCAAAACAGTTTGGTTGTGTACTTGTGAGAAACATGTATGAGTTTGGACCCCATAAGTATAAATTTCATGTGTACTGTTCTCAGTTCACTATGTATTAGGTTAGTGAAATTTCATTTCTTTTTTAATTTTTTTTTTGAGGATTTGTTTATTTTAGAGAGAGAGAAAGAGTGTGTGTGTGAGTGGGGGGAGGGACAAGGAGAAGATCTGAAAGCAGACTCTCACAACCCATGAGATCATGACCTGAGCCAAAACCAAGAGTCAAGCACTTAATCGACTGAGCCTCCCAGGCATCCCAATTTATTTTTATAAAAACTACAAATAGGGGCGCCTGGGTGGCTCAGTTGGTTAAGCGACTGCCTTCGGCTCAGGTCATGATCCTGGAGTCCCGGGATCGAGTCCCGCATCGGGCTCCCTGCTCGGCAGGGAGTCTGCTTCTCCCTCTGACCCTCCCCCCTCTCATGTGCTCTCTCTCATTCTCTCTCTCTCAAATAAATAAATAAAATCTTTAAAAAAAAAAAAAACTACAAATATAGTAATGTGTATAGAGACTTTTAAGAAGCATTTTTGTTGTTGCCCATTTAATAAAGACCATTGTAATAGCTTCTGTCTTAAACCAGCTTATTCTTCCTTTATTGACATAGTTCCAGGTGCTCCTTCAGCTCCAAGGAGAGGGCGTGGGGGTCATCGAGGTGGCAGGGGACGATTTGGTATTCGACGAGATGGTCCAATGAAATTTGAGAAAGACTTTGACTTTGAAAGTGCAAATGCACAATTTAACAAGGAGGAAATAGACAGAGAATTTCATAATAAACTTAAATTGAAAGGTGAGTTCATTTTTCTATTCAGAAAATGTTCTTATTTGGCTTGTGAATTGTGGATGTTTAATAAAAATCTTGACTTTCTGGTATGTGCTTGTTTTTCACTAGAAGATAAACTTGAGAAGCAGGAGAAGCCTGTAAATGGTGAAGATAAAGGAGACTCAGGAGTTGATACCCAAAACAGTGAAGGAAATGCAGATGAAGAAGATCCACTTGGCCCTAATTGCTATTATGACAAAACCAAATCCTTCTTTGATAATATTTCTTGTGATGATAATAGGTACAGTCTTTTAAGCTTCTCTTATGCTCTTGGGAGGTTGAAGTATGAAATGATTTCCTATAAATTCACAAATAGTTTAATGAATACTTAAAAATATCTAAGGACTACAATTTTTTAATGTTTTATTTTGCTAAAAGAAAATAATCCGTACTAAAATTTTCAGTAACATTACTCCTTATGAAGAAGAAATAACCATATACTTTTGTTTAGGGATGCACTGACATTTGAAAATTAGTAATTAGGGCGCCTGGGTGGCCCAGTTGGTTAAGCAACTGCCTTCGGCTCAGGTCATGATCCTGGAGTCCCGGGATCGAGTCCCGCATCAGGCTCCCTGCTCGGCGAGGAGCCTGCTTCTCCCTCTAACCCTCCCCTGTCTCATGCTCTCTCTCTCTATCTCATTCTCTCTCTCAAATAAATAAATAAAATCTTAAAAAAAAAAAAATTCGTAATTAAAACAAAAGCATTCATCTAACAACTAAGTAAGACCTTTTACTTTACTCCTCTACAGTGTAGTTCAAATGAAGTCACGGCCAAATATGCTAATGTTACTTTGAAGTTTGCTGATACAGTAAAACTTCGCCATATCGCAGCAAATGTGGATCCAGAAAATTGTCAGGTTAATTAAAGGAGCCAGCATAACAGGAGTTCTAGAGTTTCTGTTACCCGTTCCAAATTTTCCTTCTCCTCTCTGTAGTTTGGTGCCACCTGGTGGCAGTTGTCTGCTTCAGCGTAAACATGGAGGGGGATGATCTGATCTGAGTCCTGCTGTAGGACTGGGCTGTACGACAACAGCAGTAGCAATTTAAACACTTGCTTCTGACATCAGGTCCAGGGATTGGGCTAGGAGCATACTAGGACCTTACTTTCCTAGCAGACTTGGACTTACTTTCCTTCTCCCAGCTTTCTGAGACAGAGTTCCCTTTCCTGGCTTTGCGCTCTCTCACATTGGGGCTGAGGGGAGAGTAGAGTCAATTGCCAATCCTACTATATTTGAATTCCCATTATATTGGGGGCTGTTACGATGTTTGCTTCATCAGCTGTATTCATGAAAGAAACTAACACCAGTCATATTTTCACATGAAGTTTAATAGAATATTATGGGAACATACTGCCATGGACAGTTTGTGATGACTTAGATAAGGTGCTTATTTTTATTTGATCTAGGATTTATTTATCCTTAATTTGGGAATTCGTGCCACATTGTTTTGCTGGAAAATGTTCTTAAACCCGATACACTAGAGATGATTTGTTCTTATAACAGAGAACGGAGACCAACCTGGGCTGAAGAAAGAAGATTAAATGCCGAAACATTTGGAATCCCACTTCGTCCAAACCGTGGCCGTGGCGGGTATAGAGGCAGAGGAGGTCTTGGTTTCCGTGGTGGCCGAGGGCGTGGTGGTGGCAGAGGTGGTACCTTCACCACCCCTCGAGGATTTCGTGGTGGATTCAGAGGAGGTCGTGGGGGCAGGGAGTTTGCAGATTTTGAGTACAGGGTAAGTATTACATGCTTTGGGGTTGGCATGCAGTTTTATGAAATTCAAAATGGTTTTATTTTGAGTGAATATTTTTAAGACATTTGTATAACTTCCAATTTGACTGTTCAGTGGGGGATTAGGTTGTTTATATAATTTTAAGGAGCAGTAACTTCTCGGCTGATGAGTCCAAAGTTTTTAACTGTTTTCTTTTCAATTGGAGGAAGTAAGAGATAGAAATGAGATTGGGGTGGAAGGGGTCTTTTTTATTGTAGAACCATAGTTTTAGATTTCATGGACTAGTAAAATTTCCCCCAAAAATGTATTAGAAATTGATTTAGGGTGTTTTTTTTGTTCTTCCTTCCTTTTCTTTTTTTTGGAGGCATGGGGGATTACTAAAGTATTTATACCAAAAACTATATCATATCACCTTTATTTTATATTACAAAGTGTGTTTTCACACCAAAAGAGTCTAGGAAGGACATACTCCAGAATGGAAAGCATCCATAGCAGCCAACATTTATATAGTACTTTGCATGTATTAGGCATTGTTCTAAATGTTTTTCACATACTAACTCTAAATCTAACGTAACTGTATAAGATAGTTCTGTTCTTATCACCATTTTACAGAAGAAGAAATAGGTATAGAGATATTAAATACCTTGTCCAAGGTCAGCTAGTAAGTGATGCTGCAGGTTCGTGAGCCTAGTAAGTTTGTTCCTGAGTCAGTGCTCTTAATTTACTTTTATGGAAAATCCAACTGCATTTTCCCTGGTTTTCTTATTTTACCTTGGCCTTGAAAATATTGTGATATATTGGCATTTGAGAACTGCTGCTAGAAAACTATGTAGCTCAGTATAGTTTGTTTATATGTGTAGTTAATTTATTGAAAGGAGTCGGTAGATGAAGTCAGTGTCACTCTCCTAGTTTATTGATTTTTAGGTTCAGTAGAGAGGAAGGCTATATAATCACAGAAAGGATCAAAATCCTCTTGTAAAGAGATCTACTAGAACAAAGGGCAGCTGGAAACAAGAAGACCTGCTGGCAGGAATTTTATTGTCCGTTACTTGAAAGTGGCCATTGTTGAGATCCCTCTTGAAGGATCGATGTTAGTGGCTTTGGGGTCTGGTCTGTTAATTCTGACACCTCTGATACTGTATCATCCAGCCAAGACTGCTGAAAATTAGCTTCAAGTCATTAACTCAGGCTATTCAGCCGCCGTGGCCTGGTGCAGCAGCTGCAGGACTTGTAACTTGCAAAATTGCCATTCTAGCTGGGAGAGCCCATTGCTTGTCACTATTATTGTTCTTATTACTGCCCTTGCCAGTGGGGCCTTTTGCTTATAGAATTCAAATATTTGCCCTTAACCCTTCTGAAGTATTTGACACTGATAACTGCCCACCCAACTTGGAATCTTTCTTTCTAGTTTTTTAAAAATACTGTTATTTGGGGTGTTTTTGTTTTGTTTTTCTTTTTAAAAATGACACATGTTCCAGGGCACCTGGCTGGCTCAGTTGGTAGAGTATGTGACTCTTGATCTTGGGGTTGTGACTTTGAGCCCCATGTTGGGTGTAGAGATTACTAAAATCTTTTTTTATATATAAAATCTTTAAAAATAATAATAATACATGTTCCTCAACACAGCCTGTAAACACTTCATGATCTGCTTCTCCAGTTCAGAAGTCTTGTACTGGCTCTTGTCCTTTTTGCCATTGAGACTCCCCTTTTCTATATTCAGTCTGCTGCAGAAATGTGGACCACCTTCTTGCTCTTGTTCAGTGCCAAGCTTATTCTTATCTCAGGACCTTTTCACCCATTCCTTCTGCCTAGAATGTTCGGTTTGCTCCTTAAAAGCTTTTATGCTCGGGGTGCCTGGGTGGCTCAGTCAGTTACGCATCTGCCTTAGGCTCTGGTCATGATCCCAGAGTCCACAGGATCAAGTCCAGCTTTGGGCTCCTCACTCTGTGGGGAGTCGGCTTCTCCCTCTGACCCCCCCCCCACTCTCTATAAATAAATAAATAAATAATAAATTAATAAATAAAAAATAAAGCTTTCATGCTGATGTTTGTGCTTGCTCTTCTTCCCCCTTCTTTCTTGTCCCTACCTCTCTTCCCTCCCCTTTCTTTCCTCCTCCCTTTTGTGAGCTTGTTGATACGTAGCTTTTAATCAGTTTTCAGCTTGGACCTTGTGTGCTTCCACTTACATTTCTCCATCTTTATCTGCTTTATGTCCTTTGACTAACTTAAACTTGCCCTTCTTCAAAATGACCTTACCATCTTCTTGCCTTCCCACCACCCCAGCATCCACACTGCCTGACAGTGTGGCGTAGCCCCTTTCCACATTACCACATTTGTTCCTATTCGATGTCCCTGCCCACTACCATAATAACCCACTGATTGGTCTGCAGACATTCAGTCTCTTTACCTCACTTAAGGCATATCAGCTACCTATTGAAGAACCTGTGACAGCTCCTTGTTGAAGACCACATTGACTCAACTTGGCTTGAGGAAAAAGTACATTTAAATTAAACTTGGATCCTGATGAGAATTCTAGTGATTGTTGCTAATGTGACTTCAGTTGAGTCGTTAAACCTTTCAGGCCCTCAGTTTTTACATTTTTGGAAACAAATCAAATACACATTTTATCAAATACACATTTTAAAGATCATTAAAGTCTCAGAGTTGGGAAGCATCTGAGAGGTCTGAGCTCCTGGCCAAGCCGGGAGTCCTGACGTATCCCTTATAGGGGCTGGCAGCTTACTTTTACTAAGAGCATCCATCCCACCCCAGGGATGGTCTAATTAGTAGGATTTCACAATGTGGGTGAGGATCTTTTCCCCTATATCTTCAGTCTTAGTTTAACTCTACCCTTGTAAACAAACAGAATATACATACTCCTCTTCATGATAATTCTGCAGATACTTGACAAAACCGCGGTCATATTGTCTACAAGATTGGACTGTTATTTCCCGTTACCTGACAGTCATCAGTAAGCCTTTGAATAACTGCCGAGTGCATGGTACATGCATTTATTTATTAATTCAGACTTTCTGAAGCTCTGTCTCACTGTTCAGTCATTTTGAGCCTCCAGTGAAAACCCCTATCCCACACATTGCAGAATTAGAGTGCATTGTAGAGGTTGTCTGCATGAGTCTTTACCCACATTAGTGTATCCTTGACAGATAGTCCGACTAGCCTCTGCTTGGGTGTTTCAAGGCGTCATAGATTGACTGGGCCCTAGATATTGCCCTGGTGGTAAGAAGGTTCTCATGTGACATTGTACTGCCTGCTCTTCTTACTCTGTGCGGATCCCACTGCTATTTCCAGCCCCATTTCTCATTGCCCTTTAAGCTGTCTGGTTCAAGCAAGTTGACTCATGGTCAATGCTTATATGCACTGTCCTTGATTCCGACTTTGACCTCGTTTGTTGACCAGACATATTGCATTCTTCATATATGGCATGCACTGTGCTGGATATTAGTGGTAAGCAAAACGGATGCAGTCCCAGCCTTCTTGGTGTTTTAGTCCAGTGGAGAGATAGACACAGCTAAAAGTCAAGCGGTTCCCTTTCACACCCTTCACAGTCTTGTCCAAGGTTTGCTCTGTCCTTGGAAACTTCTCTTCTTTCCTACACTGATTTCTTCTTTTTCTGACTCCTATGGTATCTGCTTTCATCACACATTTTAAATACACTCATGTTCCGTATTTCATGTGTTTTGTTCTGCATTTCCAGCTGGATATGAGCCTCTTGGCATTAGTGAACGTGTATTTTATTTTCATTTCCTCCAGTGGACATGGAACCATAGTGGGCTTGAAGTAAGTGCTCAGCATTTTGATTAGGAATACACTACTTCAGCCTTCAGTAAGGCAGAAGGTCCATCAGTGTGGCTAGTCCTTCCTTGTCCATTCCAAAGTTAAATGACCCTGAAGTCTGGCACTAGAGCCCTGACCTTCTCCGCATTCTATGTCTTCTAAATCATATCACCTGGTACCTTTAAAGGCAGAAAGAGTGAGTGATCACTATTACATGAAGGAAATTTACCTTCAAGGATTAAACTCCCTTCTAAAACTACATCTAATACTTCTTAGAGAAATGGAGGTCATTGGCATTTACAGCAGCCTTCATGTAATGGGTTGGCTTTCTTCTTTGTGTTCTGTTGGCATGAATCACTAGTTTTGAGGTGAGCATAAGCAAGTCTGGTTGTTTAATGAAAACATGGGCAAAGTGGGATTATAGATTTTTAGAACTCCTCAAAAATACCAGCTGAACTATAAGCTCTCTCTCACCCTACCCCCAATAGATCGGAAACCAAGGACCCAGAGAAGTTAACTCTCTTGATCGGGGTACAAGCTAGTAAAGCCAAAACTTAGTCTGTTTGACTTCTCGCCTAGTTTTCCTTAAGGATAATGTTAGAAAGATAAATTTGTGTTAAGCTTGGTCCTGTGGCGCTTTGTGGGGTTGGGGGATGAGGAGATCAAGTTGGGTGTGTAATAAGAGTATAGTCAGCTCCTATTTTATATGCTGCTGCTAAGGAGGTTAAATAAAACACCATGGTAGGTGAGACAGATTACCTTCCATTTGAGTCTGTTTTTTCAGATAGGGTCCAGAAACAAAGAGGTAACCAAAATGACTCAGCATGGTACTCTCTTTCCCTTTCCCCCTTTATTTTCTCCTCTCTTTCCCTCTACTTCTCTGTATCCCTCTCCCCCTCCCTTCTCTTTCCCTTTCTTTCTTGCTTTCTTTTTTTTACCTTTCAGAAAACCACAGCTTTTGGACCCTAAAGTAGGTCTGGATTGATCGTACAACTTTCTGAAAGGTAAAAAAAAAAAAAAAATCGGGGCATGTGAAGGTTGGCTTCGGTGGGGAACTGTGGGGTGGGATTATCTTCAGTTTATTTCTTTCTGCACCAGTTCACACCATGCCACATGTATCCAGTTTAATGGCATTGCACAAATGGTTTGGTGCTGTATACACAGATAAAGTTAAGTCTTTAACATAGGAAATAATGTATTTCTAACAGTCAGGATGAGAATCAGCAATAAAAATCAGGAATGTGATAACAACTAGTCCTGAGGAAAACAGTAGCCCCTGGCTCTGGTGTTATGTACAGGACTTTTGATTAGGTTTAGTCTCACTGGAAAGCTAGAGGCTCCTTGAGATTTTTGTTTTTTCCCTGGTTACTTTTTAAAAATTACTACCCAGTCAACTCTGATTTTCAGAACTTATTTTGAATTTAAAAGTTATCCTTTTAAAATGAATTTCTAAATCATTGCTTTCTCCTGGCATGAAACTTTGGAGAGAAATGTTATTTTACTGTCTGGATATTTTATTGCTTAGTAAAGACATCAAAGACTTCAGGATTTTATTAATCCTTTTCCAGGGTATGTTGTCAATTGTATTTGATGAACTTGACTGCTAAGTTGAAGGTTTAAATCATTGTGTTTAAAAATTATTAAGATGCAACCAAAGATAGTGAGGTATGCCTGTATCTTAGGGGCCTTCTTGCTGGAACCAGCCCACACCACACCACTGCTGTAACCTCTAGTAACTGGAAAATGCAGTTAACAAATAATGAGCTACTGCTGGGTGTGGAAGTCATAAAATGTTTCCTGGAAATTAGTGAAATGGATTTATACATGAAAGGAAAAGGAGGGTATATTTGAAAGTAATGGGAAATATACTTAAGTAAATTAGAAGTACTTAATAAACCGATAATTTGAAACATGAGCTAATTTTTTTTTTCCTTTTTAGAAAGACAACAAAGTTGCTGCATAGTCTACAAACAAGTCTTTGAAAATAGGTGAATTTCTAGCTCTTCATGGTCCTGAGAATTGGTTTCAGTCTTTGAGAAGAATGAAGAAGTGAATTTGCTGTATATTTGTCACCAGCACTGGGTTTTTGTTTGTTTGTTTGTTTGTTTTTCTGCTTAATTTCAAAGATACAATGCAGTTACTTTTGGGGGGGAAGGCTCATCTTAAAAAATGAGCATTAAATATATTTGGATAGCAGAAGGTTAAGTAATTTCTTATGTATAGTTAAACTACAGCAGTACTTCAATGGGACTTATAAGTATTTTTTCATCACTGAAAGGATTTTTCTTATCACTAAATTGTATTTGGCAATTATTGTAAGTTGCCTGCAGATAGGGCCGTGATACTGTGTTTTGAGCCACAGAAGGTTGTGTGTGTATGTGTGTGTGTGTGTGCGTGCGCGCGTGTGTGTCTGTATCTTTCTCTCTTTCTTTCTTTCTTTTTGGAAATCCTGTAATATCCCCTTTGAGGTAGCTTATTTGGTCAATTAATTAGGGTGCTGGATGGTAGAGAATTTTGTCAGTCAACTATGTACACACAGTAAATACTGTTTCTTAGGCAAAGGTATCTTTTTTATATAGTTGTAAAATTCCATTATATTCCATTGCCAAAGAAACATTAAGAACTTTGTATAGCTGTATAAAAAGCAACTAATTTTTTAAAGAATAAACATTTTAAAGTCAGCAAACATACTGTGTCCTTGCAGAAGTTGATGTGCTGAGGAGCAGAGCTGTGGGTGGTGGGTCTTTTTTCATAGCTTTCCAGGCTTGAGATTTTTTATTTTTATTTTTTTTTTTTTAATGTTTGGAACATAAATGAAGATTTGATACATTCTTCCATAATCTGAAAAGGATAAATTACTCATACTCATTGTAAGAGCTTCATTTTTTAACAAATGGCATATCACAGGATTTGTCCAAATAATAAATATTTTCAGTATATGAATGTAAATAATCATAGATAAGAATATACTTAGCTGTATTTTCAAATAAGCACCCTCCCCTTTTTTAAGATAATAAAACTGGGCATCGATTAACCTGTTCTTCCTGATATGCCTGGAATTTTGTCGTGATACCTTGATTCATTCCATTATATTTCAAGAGGATTCAGAGTGCTAGAAATTATTTTGGCAACCTATAAGATATCCTAACACTGGTCCTTGGGCCCATGGCCCACAAATGACTCAGTAATAGAGTTCATTGCTAATTATAAATCACTAGTAAATCTTTTTGATATTTTAAGCTAGGGTGGAAAAAAAAAATCTGGCCACTTTTGTGTTTTTATGAAGGCCATGGAATAAAGGGATCCAAAGATTTAAATATTTTTATCTATTTTGATTTTTGTTAACTTTCTCCTTAAAGTATTCAATAGTGATAAAGATGTGGAAAACTGCACTGTAGGACAATTGGAATATTTAAAGATGGTTGATATTTTTAATTTTAATTTTATATCTTTTGTATAGCTCTACAAGGAAATGTTTTGTAATTTGGTTTCGTTTAAGGTCCAGTACTTGGCAGCCGTAGTTTAGATAATGTTGCTTAATACTGTTTGCTTGCATGTTAACAACAAAACCTTTTGGAGGACCCACAAATCATGATATTGAACACATTTCCGAAGCATTCTGAACATCAAAGCAAGTGCTATGATAATACCTACGTAGACTGTTTGAGATGTCCCGGGCCAGTTTCAAGAAAAGCTGTAAATACCAGTTCTACGTGCTCTGAAAGTATGAATTCACGTGTTTTCCAAGCCCTCTGGGTCACTGACTAAGGCATTTGGTGCCCCAATAATAACTGGCAGCATGGCATACCTGCAGTGCACCTTACAATATTAAAGCAAGGTTTTTATTCTAAGACAGAATAAAACTGTTAAATAAAAAATGTTCGTCAAAGTTCTTTCTCTTTAAATAGTAGTATCATTTTACCATAGAAAGAAACATAATGAAAGACCTTTTAAATATAGGAATGGAATTATGGTTATGTTTATATTCCCTAAAGTAACTAATTTCTAACATTTTTCCTAAGATTGATTGATTGTTGTAGGTGCTTAGGAAGCTGGGAGCCCCTTTGTCCCCCACTAGGGTGCTTTGCAGTTGGCATCTTGAGGAGACTGAGCCAGCCACGCACAGGCCAAGCTGGAAGCCTCAGGCTAAAATGCTCCCTCTGTGGGCAGGCAGGTGTAAAAGAGGAGAGAGGGAAGGGCTGACTCCTAACTTCATTTGTTGGATTAGACCGTGTCTCCCCCTGAAAAAGCAGGACTTAGCAGGGGGTAGGGAGAGGGGTCAGGAATGTTAATCCAGCTCAATGGCTCTTAATCAGGGTTTGAACTGACATCCCGAGAGCATTTAGGAGTATGAGGGGATGTGTGAGGGTTGTCACAGTGACTAGGGACCACCACTGGCATTTAAGAGTAAGGGCCAGGGTGGCAAAATTGTACACTATGCTCGATGGTGCCACATCATCGGTTATCCAGCCCAAAGTACAATGGTGACCCTTCCAATTTCAGAAATACTAGCTGAGGTTCCTCTACAAGAAAAGACGATGAGTGGGGAATTAATTTGAAAACATTTACTGAAGAAATTGTCTACATGGAATATGAAAGGACAAGGTATAAAGGGACCTTACTTCCAGTGGCACAGTGTTTTGGAAAGCCATTATCACAGGAATTACCACTTCATCCCAGTCTCTCTCAAGAAATGGTTCACAAATCTCTTCTCCAGATCTGCTCAGTAGCATTTGTAAAGTACAAATTCCCATACCCCACACCTCGAGTCCGAGTCTGAAGTTCTGTAGAGGAGCCCGTAGGTAGTTCTGATAAGCAGGTTTAGGAAAATAGCACAGCCAGCTCACCTCATCTAGCCCCCTCCTTAAAGGGCCTTGGTAAAGTTTTCACTGGATTATTTTTCCATTTCCCCATCCTTCCAAATCCAGTACGTCCAGGCTGTGACAGCTGTAGGAAAAGGGAGAGAGGACTAAGAGGAGGGAGGGGGCATTTCTGCAGGACAGAATCCAGGGGAAAACGGAGACAGAGATTCAAATTTCCTATGGGTTTGGCTGATTTGAGTACTAAGACTTAGTTTTTTATTCCTAGCATACAGGAAAAGGGTGTGTGTTGTTTCTGTGTCTCAGTTTTACATGGCCGTTGTCCCTGTCTCTGTGGGTTATCTGTCTGAAAGAGAAGCTGCACCTTCTGCACGGCTGTGTGCTAATCACTTGGGTCTAATCATGCCCAGATGCAGTGTGATGGGATGCCCCGGCCCTATTAGTTCAGAGCTGGTTTAAACTGTGACTATTGGGAGAGATTATGGGATAAAGTAATCAAAGTGAGTGAGCTCTCTTAGGAGCCCACATGTGCATGTCACTTTACCCATTTCGACTCTATTTTTATTTTTTGTTTTTTAAAGACTTTATTTATTTGACAGCGAGAGCAGGAACACAAGCAGGGGGAGTGGGAGAGAGAGAAGCAGGCTTCTGGCCGAGCAGGGAGCCCGATGCGGGGCTCGATCCCAGGACCCTGGGATCATGACCTGAGCCGAAGGCAGACGCTTAACGACTGAGCCACCCAGGCGCCCCTCAACTGTGTTTTTAAAAGATAAGTATTAATACAGTTGGCAGTCAATTTAGGGAAGTAAAGTAGCACTGTTAATCTCAGAATCTGAGGATGCTAAATTGGGGTTTGCTCAGAGCAGGCTGCCCTAGCTCCTCCCAAGAAGGAGACACAAGGACAACTTCTTGGAAGAGGTATTCCCTGACTAGGAGTTGGTCAAGTGAGGGAAGCCAGGGAGTGTAGCTTTGAGCAACAGTGGCTTGGAGGCCAGTGGCAGCCAGGCAGCCAGCTAGTGTGCACTGGGAAGCTAGAGGTACAGGTCCCAGGCACTGGTCTTGGGATAATCCCAAACTTCTGAGGAGGAGTGATGCAAAGGTTCTTGTGTTTTTCAGAGCCAGTGTTAGCAAAAGCCAACTTGTGGTTTTGAGACATTTATAAACCTGGCTCCCAAGAGCACGTGGGGAGACTATGAATCTAATGTGGTGTCTGTTCTCAGTGATGGTGCAGAGCTGTGAGCCAGTGGTGTGGGTGTCCTTTAAATTCCAGCTTGGCTCATATTTAACGAACTTGGCTGACTGGTAAAAATGTTTTCAGGTTTAGCTCAGAAACATGTCAAAATAAACCTGATTCTGACTCCAGTTCATAATGAATGTTGATTTTAAGGAAATGCTTTAAAATGCACTGATGTCCATGTTGTGGTTCATAAAGAAACAAAGTAGCACTGCGAGGCCAAAGCATATTTCAGCTCAATAATAAGGCTTTCTTAGAGTGACTCCCATTTAGTAAGCCTTGCCTTTGCCTCCAGACTTGAAGAGTAGTCTGAAAGTGGAAGGAGAGAGGAAAGAATGCCAGTCTTGAGGGGGTGTGAGAAGTCGGGGCCCCAGGTAACACTGTAATGAATTCCAGTGGCTGGTTGACAGTCATCCCAGTACCGAGGACGGGAACATGTTTACTAGATGTCTGGAGTGTGCCTCTGTAATCCTGATGCTCGCCTAATCCTGGTAATCCTTCAGTGCTAGACTCACACAGGATTGTTGATGAGAATGCAAATCCCAACATTGCAATTCAGTGCTTGTGCTGAAATGGTTTTGTAAGTTTTTTTCTTTATGGGTTGCTCCATTCCTCAGTGTTTAATAGCATTGCTCTGTCCCAAAGTGGGTATGTGGAACCTTGCAGGTTGCAGTTTATAAAATGGAAATAGGTATTGCTGTTTTGTTTTTGTAAAAGTCATACATTTAGAAAGAATATGGGCAGTGTGGATTCTTGGCTGGCTCAGTCAGCAGAGCACGCAACTCTGGATCTCAGGGTTGTGAGTTCAAGCCCCACATTGGGCATAGAGCTTACTTTAAAAAAAAAAAAGAATATGGGCAGTATGGAAATGGTTTTTAAAAACAGGTAAGAAGAAAAGGAAATTTACAGTCCCATTACCCAGAGCTAACCATCGTCAACACTATGGGGTATATTCTGCCTGACATTGTTTGTACAGCCATGTGCTTTTCAGCCAAGATGGATTCACAGTATATGTACTACGGTGAAACTTGCTCTTGTCACTTAATACATTGAATAGCACTGTTTTAGTTTTGAAGTACAATATATACAGCGAAGTACATGCATCATCATTGTAAACAGCACCCAGTTCGGGATTCAGCTTATTAACAGTACCCCAGAAACCCCTCCATAACTCCCTTCCAGTATCCCCTTGCCCCTCAGGGGTAGCTACTATCCTGACTTAAAACGGCGTAGATGGCTTTTGCTTTTTGTTGTTCTTTATATAAATTGAATTATACACTATATATTCTTTTTGTGCTTAGCTTTGCTCAACATTGTTTGTGGGATTAGTTCATATTGTTGCATTTGGCTGTGAACTGTTTTCATTGCAACGTAATATTCCATTGTGTTAATAGCCCACAGTTTAGCCATTCTACCGTTGGTGCCATATTCAGGTAATTTCTACCTTTTGGCTGGCAATCATGCTAGCACTGTTTTTTCCTCTGCAAGAGAAGCCAGAGCTGCAGGAGGTGAGAGGAACACTGATTTACACCTCTTGAGGACTTGGAGTATGGTAAAAGATGGTAGTGCCCAACTATGGTGCCACCCCACACCAGCGTGCTACTGCAAGTAGTTTGCTACTGACCATGAAAT